AAAAAGAAGAAGGAGAAAGAAGAAGGAAGAAGAAAGAAGCAGAGAAGAAGAAGAATTCCAGTCCGTTATTATATTTGACATTAAAAAGTATTGCGGTTGCAACAATGTATCCATTTGTATCCAAATAAAAACATCTGTATCCGAAATGGATACAAATAGATACATTGTTGCAACCGCAATACTTTTTAATGTCAAATATAATAGCGGAGCTCTCTGCAGGGACAGAAGATTTTTTTTACCGTTGGTGGTAACGTCGGCCTATTGAACGACCGATTTTTTGTTTTTTTGTTTTTTTTTTTAAAACGGCCGGTTTTCGACCCATCTATGGCCTGCATTAGGCTGGCCATACATTATACAATTTTCTTGAGAAATTTGCTTTAGGCTGGCCATATATTATACAATTTTCTGTCCAATTTCTGCCCAATTTCCTTTAGATCCATCAGCTACTCTTGATCGTATGTCTTCAGAGAGCTCCTTATTACAAGGCATACTTCACATCAGCTGATGCTTCTTATGAGCAGCAATCTTAAAGGATATGTTCACCTTTGGAAACATATTACGTGTTCCATTTGTTTTTAGAGTGGAACATGTAATATGTTCCCAATGCTGCAGCCGCTCAACGATCCCTCGCTCTCTGTGGCAGAAGTTCCCAGTAATAGCTGTCACTTTTTGAAAAGAGCATGGCTGTGCGGGGCTCCACAAGGACATGTTACATGTTCCACTCTAAAAACAAATGGAACATGTAATATGTTTCCAAAGGTGAACTTATCCTTTAAGATTGCTGCTCATAAGAAGCATCAGCTGATGTGAACATACGATCAAGAGTAGCTGATGGATCAGAGCACTTTTTATGTCAAATTACTGCAAAAGACCATTTAATTCCAAGAGGTTCACATACTTTTTCTTGTCACTGTATATTGTGGCAGTGTGATGCCCTGCCATTGTGAAAATAGTTGTACAAAGGACACGGGGTTCACACGTCTGCAATGTGGTGTGGGACATCGAAGCATTAATTATAAGTGGAGAAAATTTTTTTCAACTTTGTCTGAATTTTGGTAATCCAGGATTGGGCTCTGTAGTTTGGAGATATTGAAGTGCTTTGGGAGGAATTCTCCAACCCAGTGTCCACGTCTTGCAGAAGACCAGCAGGCTGAGTGTACACAACCATTATAATGATAGGCTTGGGCACAGTTCAGGGCTCCCGTTTGAAGACAGAGGTGCTCTACTCAGGAGACAACATTTCAAACTGGAGGAGAGATTCTATGTCCATAGGACCGAGAAGATTGAGGAGACTAAGCAAGTTTGGGAGACTGAGCAAGAGCTTGGGAGACAGAGAGAGAGTTGGGATACCTACGCAAGTCCAGGGGTCTGAGGGAGTCTCAGAAGAATGAGAGCAACTGGGGTGTCAGCAGAACCCATATTGAAAGGCCAGGAGTGGGCCCGTACAGCAGGGGGCTGTGAGCCAGGAAAGCCCAAAGAGCCAGGAGAGCTGGGTAAGTCCAAGGGACCAGTGAAGGAGCAGCGGTGCTGCTGAAGACAGAGCCAGGTGGATCTCCAATTTTCTGTTGTGTTTTCCTAGTGGGAAAATCCCCCGCATGGGCAACTGTTTACCGACTTTTACTTTCATTTATTTAATAAAAAGTGGGCTGGACCTTTAAACCATACATCGGATTGGCATGGACTACAAACTGTTACTACCACTGAGCTAAACATCCCTCAACATCAAAATATATGTATGTATATATATAGTTATTTCCAGGGCTTTTTTATAGAAAAAGGTTAACTCCCCCACCCAGCCACGCCCCCATACTCCACATTTAGAGAACAGGAATTTTTGGGAGGGGCTATAAAAGTAAATGTATGGAATTAACACCTGTTTCCCCCCCACTTTAACACTTGCTTTTTTTCGCCGCTTTACACTGATGCGACGATCCGCGCTATGCGGGGATCGACGAGCAGATATCTATACTAAGATTTTCCTATTGGCCTTACATTTGATCTTTAGCGTGCATTCCCCTGCTCATTTATATGTTCATTTATGTCACTTTCGCTGCTCTGCATGTATAGAGGCAGTCGGTGAGCGCAAGAAGAAAAAGGTGGCGGAACGCAGCACTTCCGGCAGAAAGAAAGCCCTGGTTATTTCTATTTATTCCAGCTACAGGCAAAAAACATTGTCGATTCTATATTCATTCAGATCTTTATATTCATTTATATGTTCATTTGTTATGTAGTAGCGCAGCACTCAGGCAAAAAACATTGTCGAAACAGGCAGGTCAGTAAAAGAAGGCATAAACGTGGTTGATAATCCAAACAGCAGGCAGAAGCATAGTCAATAAACAGGCCAGGGTCAATTCCAGTGGAAGACAGAAATGTGGTTTAGAAATTCAGACGGCAAGCAGAGGCATTGTTGGTGAAACAGGCCAGGGTTGGTTAACGTGGAAGGCAGAGGCATGGTCAATCATGGCTGAAGGCAAAAAATCAGCACAGATAATAAAAATGGGGAAATTGCAGGCTGTTAAAAATATGGGGAACTAATATTTTACTAACGTGTGATAATGTCGGAAGCAGTCTCCATGCATAGGCCTGGTTGGGAGGGACATTGGGGACAATGAAAACTGGTGTCTCTCCTAACTCCTCCTCTGTTGCATACCCTACATTTTTTTTGGTGTCTTTTTCCTGTTTCTGATGGTGGAATGTTCTCAGGGAAATGACGTTCTTGAAATCTGCTGACAAAATCAGAGTGAATGCTTTGTGGTGGAGATTCTTGCTGATAGATTGGGGCAGTGACAACATCTTCTATAAATTTAAAGAAAGTGGTAGGTCTTTCCATTGACTTTTGATGATGTATGCATTAAAAATGGTCTTGTGGAAAAAGTATATTGCAACCTTTTTGTACCAGAAGAGGGACTTCCTTGTTGATAAATAGGGCTGCAGCATCTGATCGATTAAATCCCCCCCCCCCCATGAATCGATTATAATTGTGGATACACTTTCGGATAGGACTTCGTCTTCCATGAATTTTCACCATGGTGTCATTGTGGATGATGGACAGGGCATAAACATCTCTCCTATCCCTCCACTTCACGGCGAACACTTCCTCGTTCCTCAGACTTGTAGATTCCCCCCTTTGTAGCCTTGTGTTCACTAAATTTTGTGGGAAGCCCTTCTTGTTTGTTCGGGAGATAGCGCAGGCTATCGTTTTCTCAAGGTACAGGTGGCAGAAAAGGGGCAGGCTTGTGTAATAATTGTCTAGGTAGATGTGATACCCCTTTTGGAAAAGTGGAAAAGCCGGGTCCTAGACAATTTTTCCACTTGTGCCAATGTAGGTTGGGCACCCAGGGGGCTGGAGCCGGGAGTCTTTGCCTTCATACACACAGAAGGCATGCACATATCCCGTGGCACTTTCACAGAGCTTGTTGAGCTTCAATCCATACATGGCCCTTTTACTAGGAATATATTGCTTGATCCCAGCTGGCCAGTAAAGTGGAGAAGAGATTCATCCACACAGATATTTTGGTCAGGAATATAATTTTGTTCAGAAAATAATTTAGAAAAAAAATGAATTAGCAGGCGAATTTTATAGAGTTTGTCATAGCCAGGCTGATCTCGAGGAGGGCACTGGGAATTATCACTGAAATACAGGAAGCACATTATCATGTCATAGCGTGTCCTGGACATTACAGCTGAAAAGATCTTTAGCTGACACTCTGGGATTCTTCTTTACCTCATACAGCATTCTGCGCTGTGCTCTTGCAGTTATTTTTACAGGATGACCATGCCTAGGGAGAGTAGCAACAGTGCTAAACTTTCTCCATTTGTAGACAGTCTGTCTTACCGTGGACACATGAACATCAAGGCTTTTGGAGATACTTTTGTAACCCTTTCCAGCTTCATGCAAGTCAACAATTCTTGATCGTAGGTCTTCTGAGAGCTCTTTTCTGCGAGGCATGATTCCCATCAGACAGTGCTTCTTGAAACCAGTAAACCCAAAACAGGTGTGTCTTTTTTAAGGGCAGGACAGCTGTCAGCAACATATCCAATATCATCACACTGATTGGAGTCAAGGTTGGCTCACTCCTGGCTCCAATTAGCTCTGGGAGAAGTAATTAAGCTAGGGCCTCACATACTTTTTCCTCCCTGCACTGTGAATGTTTACATGTTATGTGCAATTAAACCATGGCAACATCTAATGTTTGTGTAGTATTATGTTCAGCAGACTGTGTTCTTCTATTGTTGTAACTTAGATGACGTTCAGAGCACATTTTATGCCCAATTCATGCAAAACTCCACGTAATCCCAAGGGGTTCACATACTTTTTCTTGCAACTGTATATACACATGATTTTGCACACCCGTTGCGCCCATTAGCAGTATTTCTGCTATAGGGCGGCCGGGAAGCAGTGAATATATACTTCACTTAATGCAACACTAGATATTTATTTGGATTTGTGATTTAGAGGGGATATCCTCTTGATGTGTTTGCTGCTTTGTACACAATTAGGTTTGGGTATTTGTGCGGTGTTTGCTTTTTTATATATAAGCTCATACTTGCAGGAAGAAAGTTCAAAAGTAACCTTAGAAAATATCTACCAAAAGACTGGTTGATGCTTGAAATAGACTCCCAGAAGAGGCAGAAAGTTAGTGGATTTAATTTTTTTTTAAACAAGCTTGGGGCAAAAATAAATCTATACTGATATAAAAAAAATTAGAAAAAAAAAAAAAAAGCTGCAGTATCCATGGACCAATTAGTCTTTTTATGTGATAACTCTCCTGGTTGCTCTGTACTATTTTATGTTTGCAATGCATTATTAGACACTTTCCTACTGTGGTATGGTGGAACGATTTTTAAAGTGTTACTGAAAACCCAGGACCCTGCATTCACTATATCTAGTCTCCCCAGACCCCGCATTCACTATAACTGGTCTCCCGGGCCCTGCATCCACTATATCTGCTCTCCCCACACCCTGCATTCACTATATCTGGTCTCCCCGTACCCGGCATTCACTATATCTAGTCTCCCCAGACCCGCATTCACTATATCTAGTCTCCCCAGACCCCGCATTCACTATATCTAGTCTCCCCAGACCCTGCATTCACTATATCTAGTCTTCCCAGACCCTGCATTCACTATATCTAGTCTCCCCAGACCCTGCATTCACTATATCTGGTCTCCCCCTGACCCTGCATCCACTATATCTGCTCTCCCCACACCCTGCATTCACTATATCTGGTCTCCCCAGGACCCTGCATTCACTATATCTGGTCTCCTAGGACCCTGCATTCACTATATCTGGTCTCCCCCTGGACCCTGCATTCACTATATCTGGTCTCCCCCTGACCCTGCATTCACTATATCTGCTCTCCACACACCCTGCATTCCCTATATTTGGTCTCCCCGGACCGTGCATTCACTATATCTGGTCTCCCCGGACCCCGCATTCACTATATCTGGTCTCCCCCTGACCCTGCATTCACTATATCTGGTCTCCCCCTGACCCTGCATTCACTATATCTGCTCTCCACACACCCTGCATTCCCTATATTTGGTCTCCCCGGACCGTGCATTCACTATATCTGGTCTCCCCGGACCCCGCATTCACTATATCTGGTCTCCCCCTGACCCTGCATTCACTATATCTGGTCTCCCCGGACCCTGCATTCACTATATCTGGTCTCCCCGGACCCTGCATTCACTATATATGGTCTCCCCGGACCCTGCATTCGCTATATCTGGTCTCCCCGGAACCTGCATTCGCTATATCTGGTCTCCCCGGAACCTGCATTTGCTATATCTGGTCTCCCCGGACCCTGCATTCACTATATCCGGTCTCCCCGGACCCTGCATTCACTATATCCGGTCTCCCCGGACCCTGCATTCACTATATCCGGTCTCCCCGGACCCCGCATTCACTATATCTGGTCCCCCTGACCCTGCATTCACTATATCCGGTCTCCCCGGACCCTGCATTCACTATATCTGGTCTCCCCGACCCTGCATTCACTATATCCGGTCTCCCCGGACCCTGCATTCACTATATCTGGTCACCCCGGACCCTGCACTCACTATATCCGGTCTCCCCGGACCCCCGCATTCACTATATCTGGTCTCCCCGGACCCTGCATTCACTATATCTGCTCTCCCCGGACCCTGCATTCACTATATCTGGTCTCTCCGGACCCTGCATTCGTTATATCCGGTCTCCCACAGTACACAGAACATGGAAATGAAATTATTTTAGCAAATATAAACTGCTAAATACCTTTTCTCAACAGCAGTATGTAGTAGTCTTGTGACTTCTATCAGTGTCCAGCTGAACACTGGTTAAAGCTTGTAAAAGGAGTTTTCATTCTCGTCTGACTGTCCTATGAGGCTGTATAACCTCTGACCAACTGTCTGGACAGTGCTGATTGGCCCTATGCTGACACTTGCACCCTACCCAAGAAAAAAAAAACACTGTAGCAATACACACTAAACTGAGCTGTGAAGAGTGACCCCTAGAGCCCTGTACAAACAGCACATGGATTGGGGACAGTAGAAGGGGAGGATCATAGAAGACAGGATCAAACAGCCTTTTTACACAATGCAGAGGATTAACCCCTTAGGTTCCACAGTGAGTATAACAAGCATGTTTTACTGCATATACAGACTGATTTTACTGTTGTGGGTTTAGTAACACTTTAAAGAATACCTTCTCTGCAATTTACATTTTTTGTTTGTTTTCTTTTATAGATGATATAAATGATAAACGCCATTTTTATTTTAGTGTTAATTCATATTTATTTTTCAGCCCATTTAGCATCTATATTGTTATTTAGTTTATATATTGTATATGTAGCGTATATAAACATCGGGGCAATACAGCGTCTCTATTGTCCTCCTGATGTCTTTATAGAAGTCATTAGAGTGCTCACTATACTTGTTTCTATATAAAAAGTAGATTTTCTCATTTGCAGACTGCATTCAATCAGTTTTATATTCCAAAACATGCACACGTCAGATGTTATTTTTCTGGGACTCGTATGTTGCTGCCGTGTAGAGGCAGTATGTTTGCATCCATGCCTGTGTGGGCACATCATTTACAGATCCTTATGTTTTGTTCTGAAGCTAAGCTGTATTTCTATTTAAAGGGAGGTTCCCCATTTCCATACAGTATAGGAAAAAAATGTCATGCTCTATTTTCACATTCTGTTCTTTTTCCTTTTGACTTGTTACAGCTGGATGGCGGTCAAAAATATTTTTTGACATGCTGTTTAATTATGAATTCACACCAATGAAGTGCGTCCCATGGTCTAGGGCGGCTGTAGCCTTATGTTGGACGCAGGGACGCACTGGATGCATTCAGCTGCCATTGTGCTTTTGCCGGGCGTCCCATGCATCTTTATGCCTTTAAGAAGGGGTGGGCTCCCTCCAGGCACACCTGCCCTTAATCTATCTATAGCGCCCCTCTAGGTAGCCAGGGGGAGCTAAGCAGGCCATACATGGGTCGAATTCCGAACGATTTTTCGTTCGAAAATCGAAAACATCATTCATTCTGTAATCTGATGGTGCCACCATTGATTCCGAAAATCAGTCAGTTTTAATGAATTTTCCAGCAAGCCCAATAAACGGATCAAATTCAAAATGCTAACACTGACGTACAAAGCTGTCCATAACACTGCCCCAAACTACATCACCGACCTGATATCCAAATACCATCCAAAACGCACTCTCTGCTCCTCACAAGACCTCCTTCTCTCTAGTTCCCTGGTCTCCTCCTCCCATGCCGCCTCCAGGACTTCTCCAGGGCATCACCCATCCTCTGGAACTCCCTACCCCAATCCATCATACTATCACCTACTCTCCTCTCCTTTAGGCGCACCCTGAAAACCCATCTCTTCAGGAAAGCCTACCCCGCCCTCTACTAATCGCTCATCTCCTCCACTCTTCCTACCACTCTATCCCCCACAGCTATTCCACCCGTACCACTATCCCCTCCCTCCTAGATTGTAAGCTCCAAGGAACAGGGCCCTCGAACCCCTCGTGTATCGCATTGTATTGTTATTGTACTGTCATGTATTGTCTCCCATTGTAATGTACAGCGCTGAGTGAACTGTTGGCGCTATATAAATACTGTATAATAATAATAATAAAATAAACAAAATGGGGAGGAACCATGAAAATCCGCCGGTGCCACCGCCCCACTAACGGAGCGAAAATCAGATGATTATTCTTAGATCCGATTTTCAAATGAAAAATCGTTCGAAAATCAACACGTGTATGGGCGGCTCTAACTAGGTTTTTTCAACTAGAGGCTGGACAGCAGCCTGGTGTGAGTCAGCCTGGGATGAGTCAAACAGGTTCACTTTAGGTTAGGGCTGAGGGATCTGCATGTCACCTCCCTGATACCTCCCCCTGCTCTAGAAGCTTGAGAAGTTTCTGGAAGGCAGTGTGTGGAGGTGAGGAGAGGCTGATCTGCATAGTTACGGGATCTTGACCAATTCCCAAGCAGGAGGCTTGGCATGGGGCCAGGACAGCCCTTAAATATGACTGAGCCTGCTCAGCAGGAGTAGTGTCAGTTGGAAGATGGAGTGAAGGCTGGAGTGTGGAGCCTGGGAGAGCGGGCTATTGAGAGAAGCCTACCTGCAGGCTCAACAGTCCCCTGAGAGAGTACAGCCTGGAAAACTGGGAACCCACAAGCTTGCAGGAGAGGACTGAGTGAGGAATCCCACACACCCTGGGCCAGATAAGGGGAGAGGGCATTCTGGTGGGAAACCTGACTAGCCCCGCTGTCTTGGACTGTTGATGTAAAAGTGGCAGTTTCTGGATCCCTTGCTCAGAGATTCCTTCAGGCAGCTGGGTGAAGAGAAGAATTCATCTGGGGTCTGAGGTGGTACAGCAGCAGGGCTGGAGTGCTTTCCAAGACGAAAACATAGTTCTCATAGTTACTAAAGAGTTGTCCTCAAGTTTCAGTTTCCTTGGGCATCCCATACACCTTTCAACCCCATCCAAGTACAATACCCCTAGTAAAACGAAAAAAGCTCAAGGGCTGCTTACTGTCTCCGTCTCCAGTGTGCAAGTGTGAAGAAAATGCATGTTGCCTGGCTGTACAGGACTAGAGGGGGACCCAAAAACTCAGCGACTCCTAAGGGGGTAGTGCTACATATTCATTACTATATGTGCTTCAACTTGGGAGACTGTGAAAATTATAGAGTTAGGACCAAAGTATACAGAAGAGCCTTCACATGGGCACTGCGGCTTACACATATATTTGCAAATGTGTTCAAACAAAACCCTGTGTTTTTAACATGAATTGTTGGACAGGTCAATTCAGGGGTTTTTTGCAGACTGGCTGGTAAGTGCGAAATTTGTGTTTGTTAGAGATGTCTGTTGCCTTTCCATATGCACCTTGCTGCAAAGGCTGGGATGGTTGCCACTTTTTTTTGGACTGTATGTTACTTACTCCTGAGCTCTGGGATATGTGTGTTACTTAATCCTCACCCTTGCACTCTGTGTTTTTACATTCTTCTGACCACTGCGCTCTGTGCGTTACATTCTTCTGACCACTGCGCTCTGTGCGTTACATTCTTCTGACCACTGCGCTCTGTGCGTTACATTCTTCTGACCACTGCGCTCTGTGCGATACATTCTTCTGACCACGCGCTCTGTGCGTTACATTTCTTCTGACCACTGCGCTCTGTGCGTTACATTCTTCTGACCACTGCGCTCTGTGCGTTACATTCTTCTGACCATTGCGCTCTGTGTGATACATTCTTCTGACCACTGCGCTCTGTGTGTTATTCTTCTGAGCACTGCGCTCTGTGTGTTACATTCTTCTGACCACTGCGCTCTGTGCGTTACATTCTTCTGACCACTGCGCTCTGTGCGTTACATTCTTCTGACCATTGCGCTCTGTGTGATACATTCTTCTGACCACTGCGCTCTGTGTGTTATTCTTCTGAGCACTGCACTCTGTGCGTTACATTCTTCTGACCACTGCGCTCTGTGCGTTACATTCTTCTGACCACTGCGCTCTGTGCGTTACATTCTTCTGACCATTGCGCTCTGTGTGATACATTCTTCTGACCATTGCGCTCTGTGTGATACATTCTTCTGACCATTGCGCTCTGTGTGATACATTCTTCTGACCACTGCGCTCTGTGCGTTACATTCTTCTGACCACTGCGTTCTGTGCGTTACATTCTTCTGACCACTGCGCTCTGTGCGTTACATTCTTCTGACCACTGCGCTCTGTGTGTTACATTCTTCTGACCACTGCGCTCTGTGCGTTACTTACTCTTGAGCTCTGCAGTCTCTGCATAAAAATGATACTAAACACACACTCTTTAATCTACATTGTCCCTTCTTTCTGTATATGGATGAGGGAACTGTAATTATTCGAATTAAAAAAAAAAAAATCAAAGTACCTCTTTCCTACTCAATATACAGCTGTCACATGACCCAGCTCTTTCCTAGCCTGTCTGCAGGAAAACATAAGGCTCCATGCACACTGGGCGTTTTGATAACGCTGGTAATGTTATTTGTGTAAAGTCATGTTAGTTGTGTAAAGTCAAAGTCGCGTGTTTTTCAGCTTTTTTTAGCGATTTTGCATTAGCGTTTAGCAGCGTTTTTTTTTTAGGTAAACAAAAAATAAAAAGACGCTGGTTTACCGCGATTTACCGCATTTGTCAGCATTACATCGTTTTTCACAGCTAAAAAACTCCTCTAGAAACACACTAGTCCTGGGGTTTTTTTCCAGCCAAAAAACGCCCCTGCCAAAAAATGCTGATTACAGTCTATGTGTGCATGGACACATGCTGGGGAGTTTACTGGCTGTAGAAAAAAACATCCAAAGCCAAAAACAGCTGCTGTGAAAACATTCAATGTGCATGAGGAGTAAAACAGGGAAGTTCTAGTCCTGGTCACATGATCAAAAAAAAAAAAACAGCCGTTGGAATACAGAGTAAAAATAAATAATTCATATCAATAGTTTTAAATTGCCATACAAATATATAAGCGAAAACAAATCTTTATTATTTTTTTTGCAATAACATGGTGTGGGCGGTTTTTGCCAGTCACAGGCTGTGTCACACCCCTCTAGCCTATGTCTACGAATAACAGGGAGGTGAAGTCTCCATCAATCAAAATGCAATATCCCACCCCACCCCCCCTTGTGTTTAGCTGGTTAGTGGACATGGAGGAGCAGGGAGGGAGTGGGATGTCATTTACCACTGTGTATACGCCCACATGTGTAACTCCATGGTCACATGGGGTGCTCAGATTTAATATGGAGGAAATGCTCAGCATAGAAAGTCTCTGAAAACTGAGCATGTGCAGAGTTGCCAACACTGTTCTGCAAAATCCCCAGCTGCATTGGGGACATGGATAGAAGGGGAACATAGAGAACAGCAGGATCAACCAGGATTTTTTCAGAAAACGATATTTTATAATGATGTGGGTTTATTATTTATTTATTTCAGGTGCTTATATAGCGCCATCAATTTACGCAGCACTTTACATATATATTGTACATTCACATCAGTCCCTAACCCTCAAGGGGTGTACAATCTCCGATCCCTAACTTACATTCATACATACACAGACTAGGGCCAATTTAGACAGGATCCAATTAACCAACCAGCATGTCTTTGGAGTGAGGGAGGAAACCGGAGTACCCGGAAGAAACCCACACAGGCACAGGGAGAACATGCAAACTCCAGGCAGGTGTTGTCGTGGCTGGGATTCGAACTAACAACCCGAGTACTGCCAGGCGGAAGTGCTAACCATTTAGCCACTGTGGGTTTAGTGACACTTTAATCCTGACTCCTGCACTATGTACATTACTTACCCCTGAGCTCTGTGAGTAACTTACACCTGACCCAAAGAAGAGTACGCTCAGATTTAATTTAACCACATCCCTTTTAGCCCCTCCCACTGTTAGTGGAACTTGGCCATTCACCGTGGCAAGCCCCATCCTTACTCTCCTTAGGACACCCAAAGGTATCCCTGGTCTTCAGCAATCTTAGTTACAATCCTGTGCGCTCGCACTGCAGCTCCTTCAATGAGTAAACGTCTTGCATTATTTTCAGTGAATGCAAAGCGCTCTGTGATAGGAGGAGGGGAAATTGTAACGTTCATCCGCCCTCTTCCAATCACAGAGTGTCAAATGTCAGGGATCTGTTATCAGACTATTTAAATGAGAATATGTGTGCCATCTGGAGAGCAAGTTGAAGGTAACTGGCCAGAAATCTTGATTCATGAGCACATTACAGTTCTTCTCCTTTCATTGCCCAGTCACAGGGTGTGTCATGTCCATGATGATCTGGGCTCTGAGAAAGTGGGTTGAATAATACTTGCCATCAAACTGAGAGCATCTAGTGGCAAAAGAAAAGTACTACAGTGCTCTGGATTGAAGGTGAATATTACAACAAAAGCTGCTGTTTGTTATTTGAATTTCTAATGGGCTTCTATTCATGATGATCTTGAAATTGGCTTGAATTATACTTAAATATGTACTACCCACAGCTGTCAGCGGTAATTTGTTTTTAAAAGAGACAACTGTGCCAGAAGCAAGAAATATGTAGCGGGTGGAGTGCAATCAACTGTTTTTTTTCTTATCTGGGATGTTCATCAAGATAATGTCCTGTGTGTTTTACTATTATACTCGCCGATAAAAAAAGGGTATCAGTGCATCCCTACTGCAAATGGCACCACAATGCACAAAAAGTAGTGCATACATGCTGCACCAAATCCCAGGATACTGGGGGTACCATGTGATCTGGTGCCCACAAATGCATTGCGTTTGTGTCCTGTGTTTGGGGTGCACTTCCCCTTCACCCTATAGTAGAAATACTGCTACAGCAGGGCAGGGGTGCGCAAAATCCTGTATATATACGTGATTTCGCATTTCCGGGTAGGCCATTCGCGGCCTCGGCTGTCAGTCACCTGGTCCCGGCTGGTGATTACTCGCCGACACCTGGTGATCGCCGAATATCTCCGACGGGAGAGAGACCTGTGTATAAACAACACAAATCTCTCCCCTGTCAGCTCCTGCACACTACTTTGTATGACTCTGCATAGCACAGCCATACAAAGCAGTGTGCTCACAGTGAAACAGACACAGCCCACGTAGTAAAACAGCACACAGTTAACCCTTTCATCACCCCGCATGTTAACCCCTTCCTGTCCAGTACCATTAGTGCAGTGTCAGTGATTCTTATTAGCACTGATCACTGTATTGGTGTCACTGGGGATGTCTAATTCTAATTTTTTGAGTTTCACCTGTATATCCTACTGAGGAATATATTCAGATTAAAGTGTTACTAAACCCAGGACCCTGCATTCACTATATCTGCTCTCCTCGGACACTGCATTCACTATATCTGGTCTCCCCAGAACCCTGCATTCACTATATCTGGTCTCCCTGGACCCTGCATTCACTATATCCGGTCTCCCCGGACCCTGCATTCACTATATCTGGTCTCCCCGGACCCTGCATTCACTATATCTGGTCTCCCCAGACCCTGCATTCACTATATCTGGTCCCCCCGGACCCTGCATTCACTATATCTGGTCTCCCAGGACCCTGCATTCACTATATCTGGTCTCCCAGGACCCTGCATTCACTATATCTGGTCTCCCCGACCCCGCATTCACTATATCTGGTCTCCCCGGACCCCGCATTCACTATACCTGGTCTCCCCCCGGACCCTGCATTCACTATATCTGGTCTCCCTGGACCCTGCATTCACTATATCTGTCTCCCAGGACAATGCATTCACTATATCTGGTCTCCCCGAACCCTGCATTCAATATATCTGGTCTCCCTGGCCCCTCATCACTATATCTGGTCTCCTCGGACCCCGCATTCACTATATCTGGTCTCCCCAGACCCCGCATTCACTATATCTGCTCTCCCCGGACCCCGCATTCACTATACCTGGTCTCCCCGGACCCCACATTCACTATATCTGGTCTCCCCGGACCCTGCATTCACTATATCTGGTCTCCCCGGACCCTGCATTCACTATATCTGGTCTCCCCGGACCCTGCATTCACTATATCTGGTCTCCCAGGACAATGCATTCACTATATCTGGTCTCCCCGAACCCTGCATTCAATATATCTGGTCTCCCCGGCCCTGCATTCACTATATCTGGTCTCCCCGGACCCTGCGTTCACTATATCTGGTCTCCCCAGACCCTGCATTCACTATATCTGGTCCCCCGGACCCTGCATTCACTATATCTGGTCTCCCCGGACCCTGCATTCACTATATCTGCTCTCCCCAGACCCTGCGTTCACTATATCTGGTCTCCCCGGACCCTGCCACTATATCTGGACCCTGCGTTCACTATATCACCCTGCATATATATCTGGTCTCCCCGGACCCTGCGTTCACTATATCTGGTCTCCCCGGACCCTGCATTCACTATATCTGGTCCCCCCGGACCCTGCAATCACTATATCTGGTCTCCCCGGACCCTGCATTCACTATATCTGCTCTCCCCAGACCCTGCATTCTCTATATCTGGTCTCCCCGGACCCTGCATTCACTATATCTGGTCTCCCCGGACCCTGCATTCACTATATCTGGTCCCCCCGGACCCTGCATTCACTATATCTGGTCCCCCCGGACCCTGAATTCACTATATCTGGTCTCCCCGGACCCTGCATTCACTATATCTGGTCTCCCCGGACCCTGCATTCACTATATCTGGTCTCCCCAGACCCTGCATTCACTATATCTGGTCTCCCCGGACCCTGCATTCACTATATCTGGTCTCCCCGACCCTGCATTCACTATATCTGGTCCCCCCGGACCCTGCATAATTCTATCTGGTCTCCCACAGTACACAGAACATGGAAATGCAATTGTTTTAGTAAATAGAAACTGCTAAATACCTTTTCTCATCAGCATTTAGAGCGGTCTTGTGACATCTATCAGTGTCCAGCAGAGCACTGGTTAAAGCTTGTAGTAGGAGGAGTTTTCATTCTGCTGTAGGAGGATGCAGAACCCCTGCCCTCTGTCTGGACAGTGCTGCTTGTCCCTGTGCTGATCACATGCACCCTCTCAACCCCCCCCCCCCCCCCAAAACTCTCTAGCAATACACTCTAAATTGAGCATGAGTGACCCATAGAGCTCTGTGCCATCATCAGATGGATTGGAAGAAGGGGAGGATCAGAGAAGACAGGATCAAACAGCCTTTTTACACAAAAAAAAAACTCTCTAGTGCTACACACCAAACTGAACATGTGGCAGAGTGACTCCACACGATATGTCTTATCAGTAGGTAAGAGGGGGGCACTGGAAGAAGGGGAGGATCAGAGAAGTCAGGATCAAACAGCCTTTTTACACAATTATTATTATTATTATGCAGGATTTATATAGTGCCAACAGTTTGCGCTTTACAAAATGAAAGCAGATATTACAGTTACAATACAATTTTGTACAAGAGGGAACAGAGGGCCCTGCTCTTTAGAGTTTACAATCTAGGAGATGCAGAGGATTAACCCCTTAGGTTCCACAGTGAGTATAACAAGCATGCTTTACTGCATATACAGACTGATTGTACTGTTGTGGTTTTAGTAACACTTTAAATATTTGTTCAATGTTAACTTTTCTCCACTTTACCCAAAACCAGAATTTCAGATACGTTAAAGGAGTGAACTCTTGTAATCTATTAACTACCGACCCCCCCTCGGGGTGGATTGCAGGACATTCACACTCTTCCATTTGACCAGTAAATATTGAATCAGTCATTGCAGCACAGATGTTGCTGCTGTTCTTTCACCCCATTTTAACATTCTTTTGTTATTCCATAATTGCTGCAAATTTACAGTTTATTTAATCCCTGCTGAACTCACCCCAGGCTAACACTGTCACTAATGTGCAGGGCTGGTAATCCCGGAGCACAGAGACACCCCTAGAGGAATATTTCAGCATCTGAATTAGGCCGGCAAGAAATGACTCTGATGGGATTTCATGGAATTTGGTGGAAAAAAGGCAATTCTTTGGATACTATTTATCCAGTTACTTACAGGTGAAACTCGAAAAATTAGAATATTGTGCAAAAGTTCATCTATTTCAGTAATGCAACTTAAAAGGTGAAACTAATATATGAGATAGACTCATTACATGCAAAGCAAGATAGTTCAAGCCGTGATTTGTCATAATTGTGATGATTATGGCTTACAGCTCATGAAAACAACAAAACCACAATCTCAGAAAATGAGAATATTACATGCAATCAATAAAACAAGGATTGTACATAGAACAATATCGGACCTCTGAAAAGTATAAGCATGCATATGGTCTGTTTTTCTTTAGCCCAGGTAAGGTGCTTCTGATGTTGTTTGTTGTTCAGGAGCGGCTTGAAAGAGGAATACGACATTTGAAGTCCATGTCCAGGATCCGTCTGTGTGTGGTGGCTCTTGATGCACTGACTCCAGCCTCAGTCCACTCCTTGTGAAAATCCCCAACACTTTTGAATGGCCTTTTCCTGACAATCCTCTCCAGGCTGCGGTCATCCCTGCTGCTTGTGCACCTTTTTCTTCCACACTTTTCCCTTCCACATAACTTTCTATTAAAATGCTTTGATACAGCACTTTGGGAACATCCAACTTCTTTTACAATTACCTTTTGAGGCTTTCCCTCCTTATGGAGGGTGTCAATGATGGCTTTCTGCACAACTGTCAGTTCAGCAGTCTTTCCCATGATTGTGATTCCTACTGAACCAGACTGAGAGACCATTTAAAGGCTCAGGAACCCTTTGCAGGTGTTATGGCTTAATCAGCTGATTAGAGTGGGACACTTTGAGCCTAGAATATTGCACCTTTTCACAATATTCTTGTCACGGAGTGCCCGTGCCTTCCCCACCCCCCTTTGCCTGCTGTTCCTCAGCCATATCCCTCCACCCCTCCCTCCCCCTTGCACATTCCTCTGTCCTTGTAGCTTCCATGAACGGTGCTGGGCCGGCTGTTGCCGAGGCAACCTGGCAGCGTCCCGCACGGCTTTTAAAAAGACTGGCACAGGAAGCAGCCCTCCTCTTTGTTCCTGTGCACGCTGCTGGAATCCTCTATCTCCCTGAAAGCCACTGGAAGGCTTGGGTGGGGGGGACCGAGCCTCCGCAGCCATCCCCGCTGTGCACTCTGCAGACCCCCAAAAGGTCAGGACTGTAGCCCTCTGCAATACCCCAGGGTTGGGAGTACCTGCTGCCCTTCGCTGAATGTCCCAGGGGGGGAGTCTCTGCAACTCTGCATGAGCCCCCTCCTCAAAGGTCAGACCCCACAGCTGAAACCCTACCTGAGACCCTCCAGCTGAGTGGACACTGCCTGCCAGCTACCTGTGACCCCCAAGCTAAGGGGAGACTGCCTGACCCTACCTGAGACCCTCCAGCTGAGGGGACACTGCCTGCCAGCTACCTGAGACCCCCAAGCTAAGGGGAGACCGTCTGACCCTACCTGAGACCCTCCAGCTGAGGGGACACTGCCTGCCAGCTACCTGTGACCCCCCAAGCTAAGGGGAGACCGCCTGACTCTACCTGAGACCCTCCAGCTGAGGGTACACTGCCTGCCAGCTACCTGAGACCCCCAAGCTAAGGGGAGACCGCCTGACCCTACCTGAGACCCTTCCAGCTGAGGGGAAACTGCCTGCCAGCTGCCTGCGACCCCCCCAAGCTAAGGGGAGACCGCCCTGACCCTACCGGAGACCCTCCAGCTGAGGGGACACTGCCTGCCAGCTACCTGTGACGCCCCAAGCTAAGGGGAGACTGCCTGACCCTACCTGAGACCCTCCAGCTGAGGGGACAACTGCCTGCCAGCTGCCTGAGACACCCAAGCTAAGGGGAGACCACCTGACCCTACCTGAGACCCTCCAGCTGAGGGGACACTGCCTGCCAGCTACCTGTGACGCCCCCCAGCTAAGGGGAGACTGCCTGACCTGACCCTACCTGAGACCCACTGCTAGCTGAGGGGACCTGCCTGCCAGCTACCTGAGACCCCCCAAGCTAAGGGGAGACCGCCTGACACTACCTGAGACCCTCCAGCTGAGGGGTGAGTTGCCTGCCTTTTGCCCGAGACCCCTGCCCAGGGGTAGATTGCCACCTGTTGCATGAGACCCTTGTCCAGGGGTAGGTTGCCCGCCTGTTGCCTGAGACCCCAGCCCAGGGGTAGATTGCTGCCTGTTGCCCAAGACCCTAGTCCAGGGGTAGGTTGCCGCCTGTTGCCAATCTGCTGTGCAGTCACGGAGGGAGCCGAGCTGAGGCGGGAACCTCGTGATCAGGCTATGCCTGGGACCCCCCAAGCCTAGGGGGGGAGATTGCCTGCCTGTTGCCCGAGACCCCTGCCCAGGGGTAGGTTGCCCGTCTGTTGCCTGAGACCCCAGTCCACTGTGCAGTCACGGATGGAGCCCAGCTGCGGCGGGACCCTCGTGATCGGGCTCTGCCTGGGACCCCCCAAGCCTAGGGGGAGATCGCCTGCCTGATGCCCGAGACCCCAGTCCAGGGGTAGATCGCCTGCCTGCTGCCTGAGACCCCAGTCTAAAGGGGGGGGGAAGACCGCACAACCCACCCTGCCGG